ATATTTGGATTAACATTGTTTATAATGGACATGTATAAAAATAGAAATATTTGCACTAACTAGCACTAAAACTTAAGTCATTTCTCTAAATAGCACTTAAATTATTTTATTCCCTAAGTAGCACTTAATAATGTCCATAATGACCAGTGATGGCGAATATTTACTTGAATAATGACTAATGCATAATGACTAAAAGTGCTATATTGGGAAGAAAAACACATGTAGTGCTATTTAGGGAAAGTCATTATGTTTTAGTGTTATTTAAGTAAATTCCTCATATAAATAAGATGTGTATCAACAACTATCTTTTAAAACATTTATTGAACTTCGGCCTAGGTTTTAATTTCTCCAGATATTTCTTTCCTGAATTTTTCCCTAGTATTCTTAAGGAACTAAATAGACTCCTAATGTCATTCTTAAGATAGAAATCCTTCAAGAAAGTTACATCATTGTGAACCTATCCCTAACTGGTAAGATTGTTGAAATGGTATGTTAAACTAAAGCAATGGTGACCAGCTTACCCTTGTTATTTGATCAAAAAGTTCTCCGCCTTCACAATATTCAAGTGCCATATCTGCAAAACAGACAAAAGGAACTCAAGACAAATAAAAGTGCACCAAAACATTCATATAATTAAGCTAGTTAAGAAGCTAAACGGGAAACAGATATCTATTGATAAAAAAACTCACAGAGTGACAAAGCATCTTGAAATGTAAAATATAGCTGGACAACACCAGGATGATCTAATTGATCAAGCACAATACGCTCTAATTTGACATACGCAGCTTTGTTTTCTTTGGTAATGAACTTTTTGTCCATGATCTTTAAGGCATATAAATTTCGAGTATCTTTTTTCATTGCTCTAACAACCTGTAACAATAACAGGTTGAATTAAAACAAATGATGATGATGACAGTTAGTATTATATGACCACCATTTTCCCAACAACCACCCTCTCATGTTATATCTAAATGGTAGACATAGAAATCAAACTCGGGACATTAGAATCTCGTACCAATTTTATAAAACACCAAAAAAAAATCTGTTTTGGGCATACTATAAAACATCCAAAACAAAGTTGTTTTGATATTTCTTCACATTTAAGAATGGATTCCTAAAGAAATGAATTAATTTTAATATAGAATATCAATACTAGCACCAAATAAACAATAATAATATTTTGATTATAACTGCATTACAAATCAACAAGGTAAACTAAAAATGGTAAAAATAAAAATCCCAAAAAAATAGAAAAGAAAAAGGGTGACCTTGGAGTAAGAACCAACACCATAGATCTTGCCCAATTCAAAATCTTGAATTGAAAACTTCTCCTGCGGCGCTCTGAAAGAAAAGCTTGTGGATCTCCCAACACTGGACGGATTGCTTTCAAGCCTAGCCATGGATTCGAATTCCCTCTCCAAGCTATATGTTCCTTCCCTCACCATTTCCATACATTCCAATCTCTCTAATTCCCTACATTCTTGTCCCTTCCGATGTGAAATTCATCGGAAATGGGAATAATTTGCAATATAAATACAATAAAAAGGATGCGAGCGCATGTAATTGAAGGGGAAACGCGATTGGTTTATCTCGCATCTGAATCAAAATTCGAATTCCATTAAATCTCGTGAAGGGTCTGAAATGTTGTTTTGAGCTGGCTCCTCCATTCCTTTGGTGCTCTGAATGAGATTTCATTTTTCTGTGAGTGATTTCTTTGCACCGCGTCATGGATCGTGTGTCGCTCCTAGAAAGGAGGGAGAGAGACAAGAGTGAGGCTGAGAAAATATTTTTGGATTTTGGTACGTGTATCTCAACCTTTATACTTCAATTTGTACCCTACAGGTTTGCATAAACATTTTGTATTGGTGTAAAATTAATTTTTGTTAATGCACCAGCACTTTATGTCCGTGTAAAGTTTTGTTAACGCACTAACACTTGTGTTAGTGTAAACCATCAAAATGTCTGTGCATAATTGTGGTATACAAATGGTGTACATTTTTTGGTGTAAGTGTAGCATGATCCAATATTTTTTTTTATTTTTTAACCTCTGATTGAAATAATGGAAGGAAAACATTAAGGAAAAATAATTAAACTACCATTTATATTGTCAACACTTTCCATATATGAGTGTCATGCATGGGCGGGAAAAATTGAGAAACTTTGATTTTTTACTTTATATAGTTCAAAAAAGTATTTCCAACACTTGGTTTTTTATTTGAGAAACTTTGATTTTTACAAGGATTTTTGGCATTGGCTTTCAAATTGGGTTTTGGCCTCCGGCAAAACATCGATGTAAGACCTAGAATATCATTGTTTTGGCCAGGTCTGGTGCACTTCATTTTCGGCAGCATTTTTCTAAAGAGTGATGTTCGATCACCTATGAACATTCATGTTCACACCTGTCCGTTAGGGGTCTTTAAGACGAAATATTTTTATCTTTAAATGTCACAATCTAGAAAAGTGATGTTCACTTAAAAACATCGATGTTCTTGACCGTTAGTCATTTCAAAAAGAAAGTCAAATCATAAAACATCGATGTTCAATGTATTTTTCAAAAGACATTTTGATATGATTTCCACAAATCATCCCAATCAATTCCAATTTTCTTCCAATCATTGCACCTTGCTTTTGGGTATAAAAGAGGGACTCTTAGGTCTCCTTTAGCACATAACTCTTCATCATCTTAATATTCTTTCATTGCATTGATCACATACATTTTCCATAGCTTTCGAGAGCCTAATACTTGAAGAAGTTGTCGTGTTCTTGGGCGTTCATTAGTTAACTCAAATATATTCTAAAAGAGTGTTATGTTCTTGAATGTTTAAGTATTGTATACACTTAAATGGACGTTTGTTCCCTTGATAGTTACGAAGGAAGAGTATATTTCTTCGGGTTGAAGTATTGGAGTGCGGTATCTTCGAGCAAGCGTTGTTAAGACTCGTGTGATTTGAGTTTCCATGTTGTATCAGTTTCTTATGCATGTTTAAGCTTAACAAAGTTAGTAGGACCTTTAAGACAGTTTCTCGAAGAACTGGATTAGTCATAAGTTATGGTGAACCAGCATAAATACGATGTGCTCTCCTTACTCTTTTTCACTTCATTTTTATTTCCTACGCTTTTGTTAAAACGCTATTCAACCCCCGGCCCTATAACATTAAGCCTTTATTCTAACAACCATGCGCTCGGTATAAATGGCTAACTAGCGGTGCTATGTTTTACTTCATATATGTCTACACTTCTTACCCATCAGGCATGATTTTTACTACAGAGACTAGTTGAACTCTACATAAGAGAAATGGCCAGATTGGACAGAGTGCCTTTGTCTATTATGTCAGATCGTGATCCGTGATTCATGCCTTAGTTCTGAATGAATGTTCAGATAGCTATGGCCTCTAAGCTCGACTTGAATGCGATGTTTCACCCTAAGATAGATGGTAAAAGGTGATTTAAATTTTGAAAGACATGATTAGGGTCCGTTTGGTATACAGAATTGATGGAATTGGAGTTGAATTGAAATTGAAATTCCATGGGATTCAATTCCATAGAATTGAATTCACTAATTTCAATTCATTTTTTGCATTACCAATTCCAAATCCACATAATTTTTGTACAACCAAACATCAGAATTGGAATTGAAGTCTTCAATTCCAATTCCATAGTTTGAATTCCGTGAACCAAACAGGGCTTAGAGTTTGTGTTATCGATTTCGAAAAGAGCTGGGAGCGACACTATATACTCCCTATTTTGTATGGTCAATATTTAGATAAAAAGCATTTGTTAATTTTATGGGGTGAACTTCACTATTTGTTAATTTCTCAATGGCAATTGGCAAAACCACCTTCTTATGTGTCTCCAACCCAATGCCTAATTTATTATGTCTAAACAAACTACCCCAAGGTTGTTTATCGTTACCAGACTAGGATAGAGAATAAAGAAAAGTAACTAAAACATTGGGGATAAAAAATATAGACAAAAGTAACTAAAATATAGTGGTCAAGTATCATCACACGAGTGTTATTTGAGTTTCCTCATCATACCATGCATATGCTCAGGATTGTGATGGCATGGAAGGGAATGAATGGGAAAATGGGATTTTGGCTTGGAAGATGTGAATGGAATCATAAGAATGGGATTGTGGAGGCGGCTAACTCTGCAAGCAGCCATGTCAATTCACTACACAGGAACAAGTTAGAGCTTGTGTGGCTTCACAATCTTTCTCTAATGGCGTGTTTCTAACTTCGATTCTTCAGAACTGAACCCGAGACCACACTTGCCCAGCAAAAATGATGTGTCAACCTGTTAAACATTGCATACGTTTTGGATAGCATGTTTATAACACGATGCTCACAATATATTTCAGATCAAAATCTAACCCAAACCTTAAATTGGAATATGTTCGCATAAACTTCAAACCTTTAGCCACTAAAACACAGATCTCATATTATTTTTCTATCCTCGGACCTATGGTCTACCATATCTAATGAGTCTCCATGCTCATAAGACTTGATACAAAATGTCAAAATGCATCTAGCACGTAAAATCAACTTATGGATGATGGAATTCCATCTAACCCAAGGTTCAGGAGAAACTACACTACACTACTTCAACTACATTTAAATATAGAAAGGCCAATTTCTTCATAGCTCAAGAGTCTCATAAAAGAGTAAATTCTACATCCAGATGTTTCTACTTCAAAGAAAGTAATGATCCTTCCATCCCATAGTGTTGAGTTATCTCATACCACGTCAGCACTCTACACCTATCATTACCAGACTGGGCTAGAGAATAGACAAAAGTAACTAAAATATTGGGGATAAAAAATACAGACAAAAGTAACTAAAATATAGTGGTCAAGTATATTATTTGATAGTCATATGACAATGATAAAACTTACAAAGACGGCTAGGAGTTATAATACAAAAAATTACATTGCTGCTATCATTACAAAACAACTACTGAAGCTTACAGCAAAATAAATTACGAAAAAAGTGAAAGTAGCATAAAATAAGCTTTAGATGCGGGCAATTCGTCTCTTTACGCTCTTCTTCTTTGTCCGTTTGCTTTTGCTTCTTCTGTGTTGGTTTTATGTTCTGCGCCTTCTTTGATGCATGCTCGAGCTCGGAGACTCTTGAAAATACTCTCCCCAATTTTGAGTACATAGGAGTAAGGTCTCCGTACACATATGGCCCGGCCCTACTTTTTGTAAGCTTCTACAGGTTTTGCTGTTGTTGTCGCGGGAGACAAGGAGACCAAGCTATCAACATGGGGATGGCAACGCCACTTGTACATGCAAGCAGGGTATTCCTTATCATCTGGTTGATATGAAGCAACAATTCTTCCCATTTTGACATGATATACAATAATTTCACTTGACTCCTCAAACACCAGTAGCTCTCCATTTCCAAGGGAACCAATAGGCATGCGGTGGTATCTCAATCGTGAAGAAGCGACGAAATTAATGTCGGGTAACTTCTCCCATCGCCCCGTTTTGGGATCAATCAACAACCAAGTCTTAATCAAATACGAATTAACCTTCACCATCATGGAAAGAGATCCCCACATAGCTAAAAACTTCTTGGGATCCCTCCAATCACTTGTGGGGAAGGAAATTGACCAAAGAGTTTCAATTTCAATGTCAAATACAACAATAGACATCCCTTGAGGATCACAAAAATAATACATAAAGCGCCCAATACATAATGGAGGGAAACGGAAATAACATGTGTGCAAACCTAAGTGACTGGCATCAATACGTCTCCATTTCTTTTTCTCAACACCACCTAAGGTTAATATTGCAAATCGAGGGGTAGCATTATATGCATAGCTTATAAGCTGTGCAATCTTATATACCCTCGAAACAGGAGAATAAGCCAAGAAATGGTTAGTGCCTGGTCTACAAGTTCTGAATTTGTAAAAAGGTAAAACAACCTGCTGCCCCGTGACTGGATTTAGAACACAAGGCTCAAATGCCTCATGCTTTGGAAAGTAAAGTAAGCCGTTACAGCTAGACATAACAACGCCGTGAGGCACAAAACCTAGCCGCTTAAATTCAATTGTGCCAGTGTTGGTAGTCCTAAGAAAATACCCTGACTTAGGAGTGTGATAGAAACTGGACTGGAGAAAGAGGCAGGTATTAGACGATGATGAGTTGTGGAGGTGGGAATGAGCAACACTCGGGCTGCGGATTATATTATACCACCCTCGACAAACATACCTCACTACATGATAGATGAAATCCACAGGAAGGAGAAGAAGGATAGCAAAAATGACTTCTTGCGGCAAAATATCAGCAATACAGCTCATCTTTATGGCCTTCCTCCGAGCCTTGCACCAGCCAATCTTTCGATTGTTGTTTACAGTTACAGGGTCAACTACGGCCATCTGTAAGCAGCAAAAACTACATTATTGACATTATAAAACCTCGGACATGAGATTCATTATTATTAGTGTTATAATTACTCCATTTAGGAGACATTTACGCTATAACTTCAAGAAATTCTCTATTCTGCGCAAATAATCCCAAGTTTAATGAATGAAACCATAGAGTGACTCTCAAATCTCATCCCTAAAGCAAAACTAATTTTTTCCCCTACATTTTTTTTTTCTTTCTAGTTCTATCAACTTACACAAAAATTGTTTAAATTAAAAAACAATTTTTTAAAGTATTGCTGTATAGTATACTTTTCAGTTGTCATTAATTATCATCCCGAAACGACAAATCACAAATTGAAATGCAACTCATGAAAACAAGACAGTAACAATTTTTTCTAGGAATCACCAAACTGGATAGCAATTCTAGTTCATACATTAAACTTTGATTTCAAAAAGTAAGTTAAAAGCAACATTTTTAAAAAAAATTACTGAATTTTTAGTAGGGAAAAAAGTACTCCGTATTTGGCTTTAGGCGTTTCTCCGAATAACATTAAATCATTCTAGGCTTTAGGCTTTTATTTTCAGATTAAAAAAATAAGAATTTGTGTGGATTAGAATTCGGGGAGTAATTTCATGAAAATATTGGAGCGATGGTGTGATTTATATCAGAGTAAAACAGATGAACTGTTAGAGTAATGACATGCATTTTTCTTATCATTAATGAATTTCTTTGTGAAAAATTCAAGTTCTGTAATGCTATGTTTGGGAACATGGATTTGGATTTCAAATCCGGATTTGGCTTAAATTCCATGTTTGGGAAACTTAAGCATTTTGAATTTGGATTTGAATCAAATTCTTTACATTCAAAACAAAGCTTAATTTGAAATCTATGCACCTCCCCGGGTCATTTGAAATTCAGGATTTCAAATTTTGGAATTGAAATGCATGAATTGAAATGAAATTCTAATTGCCAAACACTACCTAAAAGAATTGAGCATAATAAGATCTGCTCTAGGGAAGATGGTGTGAATAGAAGAAGACTTAGCAGTGGGAATAAGATCTGCTCTAGGGTTTGTTATTTATTACGGAGTAAAAAAATAATCGCAATTTGAAGAAAATAGGAGAGGGGAGAAATTGTACCTCTCCTTCTTCGCTGGGTGCTGTTGTCTTTCTGTCTTTTTCAATTTTCCGTTTGCGAAGAACCGGAGCCATGGTCAGATTCAGATTCCGGCGGGGGACTGAACACAGAGTGAGTGAGAGACAGAGAGATGAGACTCAGTGAAGTGCCAAACTTCACTTTCTCACATTTCGTTTCAAATTTGAATGTTAGGGAACAGTTGACCAAAACACGGGCGTCGGGAAAAATTTATGAAATGTTGACCCCTTTAAACTAAATTAGTTTTATCTTTTGAAAAAAGTATTTTTTATTTAAAACACTAATGTTAATAAAAAATGTCCTTCTCAACCAGAGCTGCTATGTGCATTAAACTCATTATATTTATGGAAATAATTCTACATTAAATGTGTTTTGTGGAAATATTTTATGAAAATATTGTGTGGGTTATAGATAATCAATTTTACAATCAATCGAAGATGCCCCAATTAAATTAGTGTAATAATCATACACCAAATATTCAATGTAATACGGAGTATTTATTAAAAGAAATAATATGCACTTTAATCTTCCTTGCTCCTCTATTCCAATATCTTGTTAGATTGTGCTCTGTTCACCTGATCTGATATGATTGAATCTGAACTGGTCTGGTCAGATATGATCTGTAAAAATTTGATATGATATAAATCTGATTTAAATTGAAAATTAAAATTATTTTTTATAATAGTTATAATAATAATAATATAATTAATAATAATAGTATAAAAGTAATAATAAGCATAGTAATCGTAATAAATAAAGTAATAATTATATCAATAATTATAATTATAATCATAATATAATACTAATAGTAATAATAATGATATTATTATTATTATAAATCAAAATTATAAAAATAGTAATAATAATAATAATATTAATAGTAATACGGAGTAATAAGAGTCATAATAATACAATAGTAATAATCTTTATAAACATAATAATAGTGATAGTAATATTAGTAGTAATAATAATACTAATATTAATAGTAATAGTAATAATAATAATAGTAATAATCTTTGTAACTAGGGGTGAGCAAGTACCAAATCGATACCGAAATTTACCGAAAAAACCGAGAATACCGAACCGAAAAATACCAAACCGAAAAAATACTGAGAAGGAACTGAACCATACCGAACCGAATGGTCGGTACGGTATTTGGGAACGGTACGAGGAGACGTCCCATACCGAAAATCCCGAACCGAACATATATACTAAAATATTATAAAAAATAATACCCCGGAGTAATATTTTTATATTCCTTCACTAAATAATACTCCGGGTAAGTTTTTTAAAAAAAAACAGGTTCAAGTTTTATTATGTGTAATTTTTTTTTTAATTTTTGTGTATGAACATAAAAGTATTCACAAAGATTTGAAATACTCCTTTATTGTCGTTCATTTTTTAGTTTGTGAAATATAAACTAAATTTTGATAGGGTAGATAACGTAAATTTATAAATACAAAAAAATTTAAAAGTACAAAAAAATAAATTTAAGTGAAAAATTAAAAGTTTTTATTTCCTCGTAACAATTTAAAATTACACATTTCATCCATACATATAAGTAGGGCTAAACATGGCTTTGGCTATGGCTTGGTACCCGAATCATACCGAACCGATATTTCGGGATCGGGATCGGTACGGAGTAAAATCCCATACCGAACCGAAACATTTGGTACGATATCGGTACGAGCTAAATACCGTACCATGCTCACCCCTATTTGTAACACTCTAATCCGTCCAGGTTTGCACCCTTTTTGGGCTAAAATATAAACTTGGTATTCGTAAAATATTTAAAATATTTCAAACATTTAAAACGTTATTTCATAATACTTGTAATACATTGGAATAGTAACAGAGTGTTTAAAGTTGCGGAAGCTCAATAAATCACAATTACAATCACAACAAATATATGTCATTTTCAAACAATAATCCACACATCCATTCCGACCATCTCACTCCATCTGTCTCTAGAAAATCATCGATTCATTCTTTTTGTTTACCTGCGTGTAGCAAATAAACATACTACACGCTCAGCGTTTAAGCTGAGTAAGCATATATAGTGCGTCAAACATCCATATAAATTGAATCTCAATTCATAATCAAATCATTTGATATCATGCACATAATATTACTTCAGATATTCAATAATCAATATTCAGTATTCATCATTTATTATCCAATATTAATATTCATATTCAACATTCATCATTTATATATTCAACATTTCTCAATCGTTCATACTATTCACAATATTCTTTTCAAGTCATTTACCATTCATGATATTCACAATATTCAATTTAAATCGTTTCATGATATATGGAACATTTCACATTCAGTATTTCAACAGTGCTCTTAAACTATTTTTAATCTAAGGCACTAATTTTAACCAACTCTAAAACGAATTCTAGCTCAGCCTTTAGCTGGGAAACCTCCTCTTCCAGATGGTCAGTTTGCCCGGGCTTCTCCTCCAGCTCGACGATCTTCCTTTAAGCCTGTTCGTCCGACTCCTTGGCAGACTTGAGCAAGCCCTCATGCTTGGCGAACAGGCCCCAGTAGGTTTCGGCATGTTCTACTAGCTTCTATGTCATCTTCTCAACCGCCATTCGGCCTGCCTCTGCATTCTTCCGGGCGGCGACCATCATGGCCTCCATCCGAAGCTTCTCGTCCGTCTCGGACTTGACCAGCCGGGGGGCCCACTCTTGCCTGATCTGACCGACCTACTTAGAAAAGAGATTTGCAGAGAAGTTTGGAAAAAGAGAATTGAAAGGAATTAAAAAGGTAGAATTGATGCTTACCTCGCTCATATCGGCGCAGAAGGCATCGAATAGCTCAGCATTTGACCAGGACATCAGGGCCATGTCTTTGGGCTCGCCCTTGCCCTTGTCGGCATCAATTTTTTTGATCTGATCTGATTTTTTACAATAGTGATATATATATATATATATATATATATATATATATATATATATATACAACTTATTTTAGTTTATTACTTCACAAAAAATCATTATATAAATTTAATCACAAATGCATATTTACTAATCAAGTACTTCGTTGCAAAAATAATATCTTATTACATCATTTATTTTATTGCTATATATATATTTTTCAGCAAATTAAATAGAATAAAATTGGTTTAATCAAAGGGTGACAAGTGACATTATGATACATATACGTTCTCTAATGATGTATCAGTATGTAATTAATATATTTTTATTATAATATTTTATAAGTTAAAACCATTTCTAATAGTACTTAATTCAATGGTCATTAATTTTGTATAGTTTTTTGTTTTATAAATTAACATACAAATGTATACTTCGCAAGTTTAAAACAGATTTTGTCACTATTAGAAAAACTAAAATAACTAACATTATACTTATAGAATCTCAAAAATTTAGAACATATACGAGCACGTGCAAAACACAGGATTAACACATAGTACTCGGTATATTTTAGTTTGTTTTTATTAGGATATGAATGGATTAGTTGATAACGATACAAGACCCATGCCATGTTTTCTTCAACTTTTTTTTTATTTAGATTTTTTATTGAAATCAAATTAGATAAAAATAGCTTTAAATATAACTATATTCATATCAAACCAAATCAGGTAAAAAATTATTTCAATCCATAGGCCTCAACCCATCATATATGGTACATCCAGATGTACATAGAGATACGTACATCCCGATAGTATTCATTTCGAAGTAAAATAATGTAGTACCCATTCTTAAATAATACAGTACTTATTCTAAAATAACACAGTACTTATTCTGAAATAACATACTACTCATTTATTCAGTATAATAAGAGAAGCTTGGAATAATTGAATGTATAGAGAGAGCACATACTTTCTGTAGAGTTTTAATTGCGCCACCTCACCATCACAAAGCACCGAGAGTACGCTTCTGCGAAAGATGATTTGGTTAGAAAAACTCGAAAGAGAAGGGATCTCAAATCTCTCAGATCGTTTACGGCATAGTTTTAAAAACCGGATCGGAGACCGAACCAGTCAAGTTACTGGTTCACTGGTCCGACCAGTGGTTCAAAGTGGTTCACGCATATTTAAAAATTTAATACACACACACACGCGCACACACACACACATGAAAATTAATATGTATTGAAATAATACTTCCTTTATCTATAAATAAAGAATTTATGATGTATTGAAATAAATAATACTTAATATGTATTGAAATAATACATATAAATAACACACACGCACACACACACACACTTAATATGTATTGAAATAATACTTCCTTTATCCCGCACACACACACACATGTGTGATCTTGTTTGATTTGTCTTAACGTATAGATTTAGGGGTGGGCGCGGTCCGTGATGGTCCGTGATACTACCGGAACCTATCACGGACCGCTATTATTTAAACGGTTCGGTATCGGTACGGGATGAACTCCAAAACCATTCGGTACCATTCCGTTTTGAAACGGAACAGTACAATACCATACTCATGCTCAAACCGTGCCAAAAAAATGAACGTACATTACGTAAAGAATATTAAATTTAATGTATAAATATGTACCGGAGTATAAAAAAGTACAAGAATGTTAAATAAAAGTATTGATCTTGAATTTAAACGAAACATAAACATAAAGAAATAAAAGATAACGAGTCCAAAGTTAAAAAATAATTTTTTTTTCCAATTCATATAATATCGGAATACTAATAACAATAAAAAAAATAATGCCAATAGTAATAATAAATATAATAACAACAATAATAATGAGAGAGTTTAAAAATGAATAATAAAATACGAAATACTCTATACACGATAAGATGAAGTAGACACATACTCCATAATTATTTGAGATATGTACTCCGTATATAGCGTTGGCGGTTCGGTCCGTGATAATCGGTTTTAAATATTTGTATCACGGTCCCGTCCCATTTGGTATCGGTTCGGTTTCGGTTCGTGATGAAAAAAATCAATCCTGTTTGAAAACACTATAAACGGTTCGGTACTATTACGGTCCGGTACGGTACCATGCTAGTTCGGTTTTTTTGCCCACCCCTATATAGATTATTAATATATAATTTCTATAATTTTTTTAATATACAAATTACAAGATAAAATGGATTAAAAAAGTGTATTGGATGGTGTGTAAAAATGAAAGTGGACAAATACTCTGGAACGGAGGGAGTAATTATTTAAGTTAGTAGCATTAAATCGAAACAAAATGGATATTTAAACAAATAAAAAATTATAAAATAAGAGGTGATATGTTTTGTTTTATAATTTACACAATATTTTTAAAATATTTAAATGAGTTAATAATTTTGTGATATGAATTTCATATTAGAATCAATTGCATCATTATTTTAGGAATGTAATATATATCTAGTAATGTATACTTGTATATTTTTAGAAATGTAATACTCCCTCTGTTCTAAAACTATCTTCCCACTTCTCTTTTTTCTCCGTCCTAAAACTACATTCCTATTAGAAAAAAAAGATGGCAAATGACATTAATACCCTCTTGTATTTACACCAATTATCTTCTAACTCTATATTTTGAATGATTGCAAAAAAAATTTTCAAAAAATCTTTTTTAAGGGGGGTAAAATTTGAAGATAATGGCAAAAAAAATTTTCAAAAAATTTTCAAAAAAACTTTAGTGTTACTACTAGTTTTATAGATCTTTTGATGTAGTATTTTGATATATAATTTTCATTTTTTAAGTCTATACCACTTGTCATATAAATGATTTGAAAATAATTTCAGTCAAACATCGTAAACCGAAACAGGCACTATAAATTGGGACGGAGGGAGTATTATTATTATTTTTTTGAATTTACTTGCCAATTTTTGTGATCAAGTGGTAGGGGACATTTGGAGTTAAATCTCGCATCTCTACTGTCGTTAATAATGTGGCGTGTATGATGGATATCCCCTTTAAACTCTCAAAGGTTTTGAACAAAGGTTTTGATAGTCGACCCCGAAGTTGACCGAACAATTGACCCGCTAAAAATAGGTCAAACCCGACCAAACCTGAATCCGACCTGACCGACCCACTAAAATAAGAATTTTTGAAAATCATAGACGTTACTAATCGTTTTTGGTGTGTAAATTTATATTTTCAGACAAAATTTTAATTATATTGCATATATCTTATTTTTTCAAAAGTTAAGCATTTTTTAAATTCTTTATATTGATTTATATATCTAAAAATAACTTTAGAATTTAAAATAAAATAATCTAATAGATTTAATATTTTTTTTTGATATTTTAAAATTATTAAATAGAAAATGTTAGTGTTAATGTAAATTTAAAAATTTAAAAAAACCAAAGTCATAACCCGTTGGGTCGACCTGAACCCGATGACACTGGGCCATGAACATACAGTTCTTAACCCAAACTCGAATTGACCCGAATTCGAAATAATCCCAACTCGAAGTAACCGAATCCGAACCCAACATGACCGACCGATTTGCCAACTCTACTAAAATATGCTTACGTATATGATTAAAAATTTGTTAAGATGTAAGATATTACTCCCTATTATGATATTCCCCCATCTTAATTTATTTGTCCATGTTTGATTTTGTATTAACTTTGACCTTATATTGTGAATAAATTATAAATTTATTATAATGTACAGAGTAAATTTAATGTATCAATTTTTTTTTAGTAATGCTAGGGTACACCAAAAAGTGTACCCCAAATGTACATCACTCCTTTTTCACCACATATTTTTATTTGATTTTTATTTATTTTTTTTTTAATTTTTTTTTACTTTTTTTAGTGGATAAGTAGGGGATGGGGACATATGAGTACACCTTTGGTATATCCCTTCCATTTTTCATTTTTTTAGGCCCAAGTTATGAAGCATAAGTGCGGGTGCATCGATCGATGCGGGTGCGAGACTGGTGCGGGGGTACGGAGATTTTTTAAAAAATAGGGTGCGGTGCAGGTGCGGCAATGAGTGCGGGGAATTTCTTTATATCCGAGTATAATTTTTTAATTATATTAATATTTATTTGCAAAATACATGCATCTATGTTCAAAATATTCTAAAAAGAGAACAATTATCTTAATTTTAAATAAACAAAACACATCACATCCAAAATTAGGCCCTAACAGGCCCATATTAGGAAACCCTATGCTTATTGTCCTAACTCCAACCATCTACTCCGTATTTTTTCCTGATTCTCGGCCGCCTCCTCACCGTAAACGCTTCGATTCACTGTCAGCGATAATGATTGGCGACGACGACTCCAACCGGAGGGCTTGAACTCCGGCGGAGACCCATTCGGCGACGACGGCGACTCCTCTCGTGATTTCCGAATTAAATCTCAACATCTGAGGGCCTTAACTCTGGCGGATTCACTGTTTCTTCTTCTCTCTCGGCGATGCAGCAGTGTGTAGTGCGTGTAAATTTGCGTTGAGCTGGTTAGCTAAATCTGTGTTCCTTCTCTCTGTGCGACTTCTATTTCTCTATGAATTTTGTTGGTGACTTTGTTGGTGTGGCATTACGTTTATCATTCGTAATTGTTCCGAATGATGAGATTCCCACCATCAATGTAACTACACATCACGAGGAAACTCAGAACTCTAACCTGAATGATCATTCCGGAGGCCAGCAACATAACCAGGGCAACAGTGGCGAGCATCACCGGAACCTACACAATGAGGAAGGCGACATGAATGCGCATATGAGGAGGCCACGAGCTCAGCCTGGTAGAAGTGCCAAAGTTAGAGCTCAAGCTTCTTTGAAGGATTTGGCAAAGAACAGTAAGGGGTCAAAAACCAGCCGTAGATCAAGAATAAGGACGACTTTGGTTAGGAAGAATAACGTAACACCTAGCAGGCAACCAGCCAACGATGTCGGTCCTTCTGAATTCACTCCTTTTAGTGGACGGTCGCATACATTGAGAGAGACTGCCAATAGGGATTCCCAAAACAACGAAGGTTTTGATATGCATTCTGGAAGTCATAACACGGGAAGCAACCCCAATATCGAAAAGTCCACAGGTTCTGAGCCATCTTCAACCAATCTGTTACTATTAGAGTTGGAGTTCTTGAGTTTCTATGTTGTTTATATACGGAGGTTAGGACTTCCTGGGCCTGGCGATGCTATTTCAATGGGTGGACTGATATCTGCATTTCGAGATTTTCTTCATGAGCATATGCCGCATCTCTCTGGAGTTTTGGATTTGGTCGGCCCGGAGGCACTTCAGGGTGCGTTGGTGGCAAATTTGAGAAGCATTTTGTTGAATTATAAGATGGATGTTAATGTAGCTGAGGGTAATCTGCATTTCACTGCAGATAAATGAGGTACTTTGCTTCTCCATATATGTTACTGCATTGGGAAAACTTTCTGCCTTTTGATCGTATTTCTATTTTAATTTTCTATGATTTAGATTAGGTATCTTTTCCCTGGCAACTAGCCTTTTCCTCTGTAATGAAACTTCTCTTACTCTTGCATCTTACTTATCTGTATAATGGATATCCCCTCTTAACTCTAAGATCTTTTTAATCGTTTTTTGAGGAAGATTTGATTTCATTTATTGCTCCGGAAAAACAATGTTATTTTTAAATCCTATAGAATATAAAAAAGTATTTAGAACTAAAATATCCACCCTTATTTTATAATAGCCTATAATGTTAAGCTCCGTTATTTTAGTCATATTTTCGTTTTGCTCCGTCTTCTTCCCACCGCTGCCCAAGATAACCTTATCTCATCATTCCTATTTCATTCTCTCGACCAGTTCGCCTCTTCTTTGGCCAGGTAAAATCGTCCCAATTTTATATCATGGATTTGCTCATTGGAATTTCTTCTTCAACTTCTTGTTCTTCAATTTCTGCAAATTCTGCAGATTTAGTAAGAACACCATATTCATCTGCAGTTTCTTCTCTGTCATCTCCTCCGGCTTCTCCTCTGTCATCTGTGGAAGAAAGATGATTTTTCAATGTATAATTCTAAGCTTTTCTCTGTAAATTAGTTGGAAAACAATGGATGAGGATAAACCCTTCATTCTTTTTGTAACCATTGTCTTTTTATTACTCGTATTATTAATTAATTAAATAATTAATTAATTAATTTTTTAAAACCGTATTCTACCCCTTTTTCTTTCAACAATAACTCATGGTAAAACCAAAGTAACTCCACAAACGAAGATTCCTTATCTTTCCACCATTGAAGTCATCAAACTTAATACTTCCTTCGGTTTTTTAAGTCATTTTATTTACAAGTTGATATATTAATAAGAAATAAAAAATGGTTCTGGAGTCTTGACTTTTGATTATCCCCCACCCACACTCTCTTTCTTGTTATTAGTTTTCACCGATTTCTCTATTTCTAATCGTCATATGATATTGCTTTCCCCTTCATTAATCTATTTTTTGTGATAACTATTAGCAAAAGTATGACCATCATATGTAGCGTGCACCTTCTTTTTAATTGCAGGCGTGAAGATAATGCAACTTCAATTTGCCTTGAATCTACTCCGTATGTCTTAAATATATGCTGCATTTTTATCAATTTATGTATTCTGTTACTTCTTTTCGTTTATTATAATATTATCATTCTTGTGAGTTTAATATCAACATTTTGTCTCTAATTTGATTTAATGTGCTAACAATTTCTCTTTTCTGTTGTTAATTGAATACTACAAATTTCTAAGCTTATTAGGCACACATAATATCATGTATACTTAAAATTTTGTGCTTGATCTATAAATTTTATTCTTCCAAATTTGATGACTTTTGAACATGGTAAAAAGGTTAGCCTGTAAGTTATTTATCTTTTTTCCCTTGTTTGTGTAGACTAATTCTGTTTATTGTAATTTGTTTTTAGATCAACGTATGCCCCTGGATGAGTTAGTTGGTCATTTGAATTTCAGGAGGTTAGTCTCTAAGCCCATTATATTTTCCGTCATTTATTTCGGAAAACTCACATGTTATAGGCATGTGTTTCTGTAATTGGCTGCTTGATTTACAAGCAAATATGGTTAGAGGATTATTCTTTGTTCTTCAATATTTGTTATATAGACATGTATTCACACCGCTGACATTCATTGACAACCAACAAATGCAAGGAATAACAACTTATGGAGTTTATATATATATATATATATATATATATATATATATATATATATATATATATATAAAATCAGTATTACTTTCCCTAAATCAAGTTCCTTTTTGGCTGAAAATTTAAGTTTTAATCAAATGATTGATTTGTATTTTCAAACCTAAGAACTTTAAACCAGACTTTAAATGGAGAGGGTCGGAATGGTGTTAGCTACTCCCGAGTACTTGTGATTAACATTCCCATTAATGGAGAGGGTCTACGAATTGAATTCATGTTTGACTCTAAGTGAACTATTTCTTTTGAAAATTTGCTGCCCTGTATATTGTTTCAATATCATTTCTTGTGATTGCTTCAAATTCCAACATCATGCTTATAATATTTTAGGCACCACCACTGCTTATTTTCACTCAGGATATATATTACTCCATATATTTTGAATTTGTAATATGCAGGACTACTTGGTGTGTATTCGATTTGGTTTCTTCTTTGTTTTGATTATGATTTTCTTCGTTTAGACATTTTTACAGATAATACTTGTCTGCACATATTTACACTTGACTTTTCCCTTTTGGTGTTGTAGGTTTGATAGAAAAAACAAATCTAATGGGACTGTTTGTTTTATTTTTGTCAGGGGCTAGCTCTATAGCAATAACATTAGTGGGAGAGATTCCATCTGCTCTTGAAATCTGCATCACATGTATATATCACTACGTAGAAAATAGAAGCTGTTTTGTGCCTCTTCTGTAAACACTAAACACTACCTCTTGAAGGGGTGTGTAAGAGCTATTGTTAAGGACTTGTCTTTTCTCTTGGGCCCTACACGCACTAAGTGCGTCTTAAGCTAGTACTCACGTATATGATTAAAAATTTGTTAAGATGTAAGATATTACTTCATACTTCCTATTATGATATTCCTTCCCTCTAAAATTATTTGTCCCTGTTTGACTTTTGTATTAACTTTGACCTCAAATTCTGAGTAAAATATAAATTTATTATAATCTAAATTTAATGTATTATTTTTTTTTACTTTTAATTATTTATAATAATATTTAATTTATGGTTAAAGTTATTATAAAAATTGAACTATGAAATTTTTTTTAGGGAGTATACAGAGTTGACATTTCAAACACTTGTAAAGATGAATTACTTCTGTCCTGCAACTTTGCTTAATTATTTTTGTTTTTTTATTTAAATTACTCATTTGCATAATCAGTATCCAATAATATCATAATTCATAAGTTATGTTTTTTTTATTATACACTTTATTCAGTTATTGAGATAGTCTTCCCATCGCCCGGGGGAGGCAAGAGAATCTGAGAATGACATGAAGTGTCTTAAAGTGACTCCACGCCGTCTCAATACTAATCCTAAACGTCACAATGTTATACTCTCCCGTACTTCCTCCGTCCCACTGTTTTTGTCCACTTATCTTTTGGTACACCATCCAATGCACTTCTTTAATCCATTTTATCTTATAATTTGTATATTAAAAAATTATAAAAATTATATATTAATAATCTATACGTTAAGACGAATCAAACAAGATCACACATGACTATTTTTAGGCTTACACATTGAGAAAATTTGATGAGTCAAAGTGCTTAGATGAACAGTTCCAAAAGTCAAAACTGGACAAAGACAATGGGACGGAGGTAGTATATACTTACTGCACATATGCTTGCAAGGTTTGAAACCCCAGTAAGGGACATGATGCCAAAGGAAGATACTCCCTCTGTCCCATTTGTATCTTTTTGGATTGTGTTACGATTCTTGGTTAATTTTATTTTTAATTTAATTTATCTAATTGTAGTTATAAAATTTAAAAATAAAATTCATATATTTAAAATCATTAAAAGATATGTAGAATTAGATGTGACATGAATATTTTATTTCATCAAATTAGTAACTAAAATAAGAAAATAAAGTGTATAAAGTTTGAGTGATAATGTACGTAAAAGATTCAAGTGAATCAATGGGAGTACATTGTAACCATACAAAGTGGGAGTGGGATTAAATATGATCGATTGATTGGGGTCGTGACTCCCTAAAGGAATAGGAAGAGGTCACTTAGGTTTGATTAACTATCCACTATAGTGTAGAGTGTGATAAGACACAACCTAATACATTTGTTATCTTTTTCACATGAAATTAACCCTCTATTATGTCCAAGAATCACCAAAGTATAGCTTGACTCCAAAGGTATTGCAACCTCAATGATAATGAGAACATGTATGTATTGATGTAAAGATCTTACACTCATATTGACAAGAATATAAATAATCTAGGTAGAACTTGATTCTTTGTCAAAAAAATAGGCATTTGGTGCGGAACATGCTAACCTATACAAAGCAATAACTTTTTTCTAAAGATTCTTTATTTAAGTAGAGCAATGGTTCTCTTAACCCACCCTTCCCACCGTCGTCTAGGAACCTTGGCTGAAGTAACACCCGTGCTGCCAGTGCCATAGATCATGGCTAAATTTGCTCAACTCATCTTTAGTCAATACTGGCTCGTACTGTAGACACACACTTGTATCTTGTAACACCCTAAGAACAAACACTCTTCATACTTAGTAAAAAATTTTGTACAGATGTTTCATCAACTGGAATAATGATGGCTCTCCTTCAGGAACCTTGGCTGTAGCACTGCCTCTGCTTCCACTACCCCAAACACCTCTAACTAGCTAATCTAAAGCTTTGTTTGCTCGTTTATCATGAATCTGACCCGTGACTCTAGGACTCTCTCTTGCAAAACCACCCTCTTCTGCCCATGAGATTTTAAGAATCAAACTTTTTTTATCTTTTAAACTAGGACAGTCACTCCCTCAAACAGTACTCCTGTGTGCCATGACAAGATTTCTCTTGATGATCTTCCAATGCCCATTTTTGAACTTCACTTTGTGTTCTTGTTCATCCAACTACCTAAGAGCTAAAATCCAACTTTTCGTCAAGTTTTGCACAATTCTGGTATCCTTCTAAGTCTAGAAATCAAATGGTGTCTTCAGCATTATTTCACCCATGCTCATAACATTAAGAGAGCTCTATCTTCCACAAGATTTGCTTTTTCAAAGTCTCCAATAATTAGATTTTGCAATGCTTCGTTGTTGTAGGTAGCTTGGAATGAAGCATTAGAATTCATGAGCCAAGAATCCACGTTGTTACCTGTGCAACACTCAAAGAGATCCTTGTTCATGGAGCCCACGGTACATTGTTTACTTTTTTATCTTTTGAACATTGATTCTTAAAATACTCTACCTTTCTTTGATTGATTCAAAGAATGATGATTCCTTAGCACTCTTTCTAACGTCCTTGCTAAGAGCAAGATTATGAATCTTCTGCAAGATGATTTCATCAGGTCTCTGAACTGGTAACTGTTGTAATGAAAGTGTGAGTACAACAAGAATGAAGGGTTTTAGAAAAGTGTGGGATTTAAGCTCGCATGGGCAGCTTGACTAGTCTCAGAGATGGAATTTGGAACAAGAGACTAATTACGAACTCGTAGTAGTGTGAGAGGAACCTCTCAAAAAATGAGGGACTTCTTATGCACAGTGAACACTGATTCCAACATCCATTGTCGATAGAGACACAATTATTTCAGCTTTTGAAATAAATTGGGATTTGATTTCTAAAGTCTACAACGAAGGCACACACCATATAGCACAAAAAATTGCTATCGGGTACTTCTAGTTTTGTGATAAGAACTATCAAGTACCTTCAATTTTAGAAACATACTTTCGAGTACCTCTAATTATTCAAAAATTTATGAAGAGGAGATTTTTTTTATCCATCCTTCCTTTACTCCGTTTGATCCATTAGTTAGTTTCATCATCATCAGCATCATCATCATATCATCATCTCTTCCTCTTTCTTCTTCTTTAATTGTTCTTTTCCGCCTCCCATCGAGACCGTCCACTCTCCCCCTTTTTCTTCTATTATTACTTTTATTATAGTTGTTGCTATTATTATTATTATTATTATTATTATTATTATTATTATTATTATTATTATTATTATTATTATTATTATTATTAGAATTAATCACTCTTTGTGTCCTATTTTAAATTGCATGTTTTCCTTTTTCTCTGTTCCAAAATAAGCTACTTGTTTCTTGTTATAGTAAATGTTTAATAATAAAATACCTAAACTACCCATAAAATAAGTCACTCTTCTTCACCTTATCTTTTGATTCATCGTCACCCTTTCTAAAAAGTAATGACAAGTTCAGAAAATCAACACTAATTTTTCTCTTTATTAAATATGCCTCAAAGTCAAAATGGATGATTTAAAACGAGACGGAGGGAGTAGTAGTTTTACTAGTTTAATTCTTAAAAATACTAATGCCCTACCAAAAAAATTATACACCCCTATTAATCTTTCCCCACTTGGATAAAAGAAAAAACTAAAGTATTTTTAATCTTAAATTGAAAAGTCATTTTTATAATTAATTTTTGTATAATTTATAAATTTAAATTTGTTACACTGGCATCTACTTATATGTAAAATATATGGAGTACAATAATAAGATAAAATTTAATATTATATTTTTCATGAAACTACTCCGGTATCTACTTACATGTTATATTTTAATCTTATTACTACGTACTATATTATAAATTTTTATGTACTATCTCCGTTTCAAAATGATTTACACATTTACTATTTGAGTCTCTTGGTAAATTTTGTTTACTCATATATTTTCATTAATGATTTGATAACATAAAATATCTTTTTTCGCATATTTGTTATAGTACTTTTGATAGTTTTTATAAAATGTATTTGTATATTTTCTTTTTATATCAAACTATAGATAAAATCACACTTTAAAAAATATGGAATTTTATAATTTTGCAGAAATTAGCCGTACTTGGAGCACCCCCAGTGCTCTGTTTGTAAAACTGACAGTTCCTACTCACCTTAAGTCCTTAACCCACCCCCTAAACCCCCACCTTACCCTCGCCCATGCACTCCCACCCCAATCCCGCTGTAAGTCTCCTACAAAATGTGTGGCTATTATGTATTTGGCACCGTTACATGTCACTAGAATCTCATCAATAATAATAATAATAATAATAATAATAATAATAATAATAGTAGTAGTAGTAGTAGTAATAGCAATAGCAATAGTAATAATAATACTACTAATAATAATATTAATGATAATAATGATGATGATGATAATAATAATAATGATGATCATAATAATTATAATCATAATAATAATTATAATTATAATTATAATAATTATAATAATTATAATCATAATAATAATTAATTAATTATAATAATTATAATCATAATAATCATAGTAATCATAGTAATCATAGTCATCATAACAATAACAATAACAAATTAACAATAGAAGCAAAGAGAAAGGAAGGGGTAGGAGTCTCGATAGGAAAGAGGAGGAGGAGAAGAGATTTGAAGAAAAAGAAGAAAAAGAAAAAGAATGAAGATGAGGATGATGATATCATATACTCCCTCCGTCGTCTGTGCTGCCGGATCTTATGTGGACGAGCTCGTCAGAACCGCTGTAAGAAGAGTTCTTACCATCGCAATTGATGCAGATCTGCTTAAATTACTCTATGTTTGTGGTTGGATATTCATGAGCATTATCTGCTTGTGTTGTGAACTTGATCACCGAAGAGCTCTTTTTAATAAAATTAAAATTGTGCGGCTGAAATTTATGATGAGTAAATGGAATTAGTATGAACCACACAATTTTGGAAGAAATGAAAAGTTAAAGGAACATTTTCGTGTGACAAAGGGAGTAGATGTTGAAACGTAAGTAGGATTTGTTCTCTTTCATTTCTTGTTAATTTGTGCTCAAAGCTGGCATTCAAAGCTTCTCTAAGAGTAACGTTGCAATGATTTGGGTAAAATGCTTATGTCATGTTTGACAGCTGAATTCTATCTTTATAATGTTACTAATGGCAACCATTCTTGATCGAATCATAACGGTTTCCCATTTCCTTCATGGGGATAGAGATCTATTGCATCTCCTGGTAGGGGAATCCTTGCCATTGATGAGTCGAATGCTACATGTGTAAAGAGGCTGGCATCTATTGGTTTGGAGAACACAGAGCCTAACAGACAGACTTACAGACAGCTTTTGCTGACTACCCCAGGCCTTGGTGGGTACATATCTGGCTCTATCCTTTTTTTGAAGATACACTTTACCAATCAACTACAGATGGGAAGAAGTTTGTGGACTTCTTGCGAGAGGAGAAGATAGTTCCCGGGATCAAGGTTGATAAGGTGGGTTCATTTTATCATGTTGGCTGGTTAATGACGTCATGGTTTGGCTTTTTTTAAAAAAATTAATTTGATTTGTTCTTGGCTTCTTGCAATATGTATTCCAATTTAAAGTCATCTGTATATGATGATGTTATAACTTATAACCATGGTCCATTTCTAACTTTATTATCTTCTTTTAGGGGTCCTTGGATCCAACAATGAATCATGGTGCCAAGGCTTAGATGGCTTAGCTTCTAGATCTGCTTAGTACTACAAGCAAGGTGCCCGTTTTGCTAAGTGGTAACTTTTTCTTGTCTTGTGTGCCTTTTCACATTTTTTTATTTAGGTCCAAGGGGAGCTCTTACACGAGTAAACTCGAATGGCATGGTAAACATACAAATTTTTTTGAAGAACTGTTGTGAGTTTACCTTGTGGTCTGTTACAGCTGAAAAGCTGTACAGCTCTCTCTAATGGAGTTTAACAGGGGTGAAGATATTTGAGAGGGAGGGAAGAGAAGATATTTCGAGAGAGAGAGAGAGAGAAAGAGAATTCAATTATTTTCCATATGTACATTACAGCCCTTACAATGTATTTATAGACATCTAAAAATGCCAGCTCATCTAACAACCATACAACAACCATTAACTGCCTAACTACCCTCTAACCACCAAGTAACAACCATATCATATCCCTTCCCTTCAACAAGACTTGACCTCAAGTCTGTAGAGTGAGTGGGAAGGTAGGGTGTTGGGATGTAAAGTCTTCAGCTGGCTCCCATGTAGCCTCCTGCCTGCTGTAACCTTGCCATTGAACCAAGTAATAAGTTTTGGCCTTATTCTGGACCTTCTTAATCTGCTTAGCCTTGTGGAACAGGTTGTTCTCCTACCAATCTCCCTTGAAACCAGGCTGGAATGTGTACAGCTGTAGGTAGAACCCCCCTGAACGGTTTAAGCTGGGATACGTGACATACATCATGGATTTTAGAGCCAGCTGGAAGTTTCAACTTGTAAGCTACTTCGCCAATAGTGGCAGCAACTTGGAATGGCCCAAAGTACTTAGGAGAATTTATTATTGCTCCTGCTCTCCACTGGCTCTCCACTGACTGTTGCCTATAAGGTTGGAGCTTAAGCCAGACCCAATCTCCATTATTGAAGCTTCTCTCTGTCCTATGCTTATCAGCTTGGACCTTCATCCTATTCTGTGCCTCACATAACTGCAGTTTAAGTTGATTGATCACTTGCTGTCTCTTCTGCATGCTTCTGTCAACTGAGTCCACCTTGGACTCCCCTGGTAGGTAAGGAAGATATAGAGGTGGTGGTTGGCCATAGACAACCTCAAAAGGGGTGAGGTGTGTAGCAGTGTGATAATGGGTGTTATACCACCACTCAGCTAAGGGAAGCCACATGCACCAATCCCTAGGCTGCTCCCCACACATACATTTTAAGTACATTTCTAAACATCTGTTAACAACTTCAGTCTGCCCATCTGTTTGAGTATGATAGGATGATGATAGAAGAAATTCAGTGCCTTGGAGGGAGAACAATCCTTGCCAAAACTGGCTTAGGAAAACAGCATCCCTGTCACTCACATTGCTTTTAGGCCATCCATGTAGCTTGAACACCTGGTCCAAGTAGACTTGTGCCACCTCCAATGCTGTAAAGGGGTGTTTGAGGGCCATGAAGTGGCTATATTTGCTCAACCTGTCCACAACCACAAAGATCACTTCCTTACCCATGGATTTAGGTAGCCCAGTGATGAAGTCCATGGAGACATCTAGCCAAACTCCCTCTGGAATGGGAAGAGGTTGGAGTAAGCCTGGAGAAAGCCAGCCGTGACCAACGTGGCTGTGACCAACGAGGACGTTGGTCCTTAAGGAGGGGCGAATGTTATGGACTGAAACCATTGCAAGGTATGGGACTTGTCCCACATCGGTTGTATGGGCAATTGATGTGGGGTTTATAGGCCAAATGGGTTCCCTCACCTATCAGACTAGTCTTTTGGGTTGAGTTCTTCCGTTTGGTCTGTAACATGGTGTCATGGTCCTTCTGCTTTGGTGGTTAAAGAAGCTGCATGGGGTCTTGCCCGCTATGCTGCTATATCTCAGGTATTTTCAAACTATCAAATGCCCCACTTTCTGCTTCATAATTTGTCTTTTTCCTCAAATCCCTAAAACATGTATTTCTCCTGAATGTTTGGAGTCAACCATTGTTGATATTGATTGGCATGTGATGTGCTCTCTGTTCATTTAAGCATGAAAGAAATGATGAATTCTGCAGGACAATGGTCTTGTACCAATAGTGCAGCCTCAGATTCTCCTTGATGGGGACCATTCCATTGAAAAAACTCTTGAGGTTGCCAAACGGGTGTGGGCAGAGGTTTTATATTATCTGGCGGAAAACAATGTTATGCTTGAAGGAATTCTGCTTAAACCTAGCATGGTTACCCCGGGCGCTGAACAACAAGAGAAGGCTTCTCCGGATACTATTGCCAAGTACACTCTCACTATGCTTAAAAGGAGAGTCCCTCCTGTTCCTGGAACCTTAGTATGACCCATCTTCTGGACATTCTAAAAATGCGTGCTTTAGCATTTAAATCTTATGCCAGTATCAATTATGCTTAAAATATTCTTATATGGAGCTTATAGCTTACTACACTGAAAGCATTCTTCATAAGCCCCTTGTGTGATTGTAGTGGTGGGAAAGGAAAAACATTTGAGAAGCTTCAATCTTTTTTGGAACTTCATGTAGAATGGTTTTTGTAAAGAAAAAAACTCCCTGTCCTTAGGCTATGCTTGGCACACCATAGTACAAGTGGCTATTAGCATTTTCGAAAAGCTTTTCAAAAAAGTTGCATTTGGTTAGCACATTTATCTGATAAACTTCTCTGAGTAGCTTTTCAAATACGGAGCAAGTTACTCACAAGAGCATTTTCAATTTCACTTTTGTTTTTTATTTTGAAATCATTTTGATCTTAATCTTTCATGTTGTTTTGTATGTCAAAGCTAGCATCAAATTCACCAACCACTAAGAAAGCAACAGACTATTTCTAATAAACTTACCAGTCAAATAGCCTACTTATCGGTAGTCATCATCTAGCTTATCATCATTTCATTTTTCCAAACAAAGCCTCACTGCCTCAGGCACTTGTCCAATCTTTACTTATTGTGCAAAAGCTACATTTTTTCCCCTTCAAACGCCGGTCTTTTTCATTAAACGTTACCGAAAGTTCAAAAAGTATATATATATGTATTTTTTGGTTTTCAGTTCTTGTCAGGAGGAGAATCTGAAGTGGAAGCAACACTGAACCCCAATGGGATGAACCAAACTCCAAACCCGTGGCATGTTTCCTTCTCATACGCATGTGCATTGCAAAACTCTGTCCTGAAGATGCGGCAAGGACGACCCGAGATTGCAGGAGCTGCCCAAAAAGCACGGTTGGTTCGCGCAAAAGCCAACTCCCTGGCTCAGCTCTAAGAAAGGAATGTTTGTCAAGGGTTACACACCTACTAAGTACTGAATCTATGCTAGTGTACACTCACTCTCTCTGATACTTAATTAGGTTATTTGCAAATGTTATAGTAATTTGACAACCTATCCTTGTCTGAATCTGTCTAGAGATGAAAAAGGTTAATAAGCTTCTCCAATGGCGTCTAGCCTTTGTAAATTGAAATAAGATATTACTACCTCCGTTCCAGATTATTTGTCCACTTTCATTTTTACACACTATCCAATACAATTCTTTAATCCATTTTATCTTGTAATTTGTACATTAAAAAAACTAAAGAAATTATATATTAATAATCTATATGTTAAGACAAATCAAACAAGATCACACATGACTATATTTAGGCTTACACATTCAGAGGATTTGATGAGTCAAAGTGCGAACAGTTCCAAAAATCAAATGTGGACGAATACTCCGGGGCGGATGGAGTAATTAAGATCATTTGGGCTTGGCTTAGCCAGAAAGGGTCCGTGGCTTTCTCCCACTTAAAAACCATCATTTTTATCTTCATCTTCTTCTATAAATCCACATTTTATTCATAGCATTTTGGGCTTAGTAATGGTGTTAGACATCTAGAAATAAAGTGGCATGCTCACTAGTCATATTTTCTTCAATTTATTTGTATTACTAATTACTTTTTTTAAATTAAAATTAGTTCAGATTGGATCGGAATCAACTTTAAATAAGAACTTATTTCAATCAGATGAAAACTATATAATTCAGATCAGTTGAAAAGTACATGACCTAAATAAGAATCATCTCAAATGTGTATGGCACACATTATATTTTCCAAACTTTAATGTTGTGCTTCGTCTAAGTTATTTTATTCCGTATATGATTTCTCAATGTTACATTATTTGATGTGGAGAAAAACATAAATTAATCGACCCCAACCTCAATCCACATTTATTTACTGTTTTTTCTTTGATTTTTTGTTTGTTAACTCGTATCTTTTACATGTTTCACTAGCACTATGTCTGGCTCAAAGATTTTCCAAAGAAAAGAAAAGAAAATGATTGTCAAAATGAAAGGAATTTGATTTTCCTTCCACTTGGTACATTTTGCCTCCTCATTTTCTTTTCCTTCCACTTTTCCTTTCTTTATCCATCTAACCAAACAAGAAAAATAATTTTCACTTTATTTTCATTTCTTTTCCCCTTCAAACCAAATACTCTTTCTGCCCCTAAATAGATTACAATCATTTTTTCTCTTTCTTCTCGATAATTTTTGTTTGATAATGCAATTTCATAAGTATTTGATAAAATAAAATATTCTTGTCATCTCTTGTTTTGTAGAACTTTTGACGTAGTTTTTTAATATTTAATTTTTATAGCTTATTGATATACCAATTTGTAAATAAAAATATTTCAAAAAATAGAAAATTTTACTCCGTAATTCGTAATTTATAATCAAAGTATGAGTATATTGTAGCTCTTTCTTGAATAGCCATTATGAGTAGATGGCTCAAAAGAAAAGTTGTTTGATACGGAGTATTTACCTAGAGTCCACAAATTTGAAAGTTTGAACGCAAAAATTATTAAGGTCTAAAAGCTAAAGCCTAGTAAGTAGGGGTGGCACGGTACAGTTCCGGTACGGTTCCGGTTCCGGAACCGCCGGTTCCGGTACCGCCACCCCATGTCACCGGAACCGTCACCGTGCCGGCCGGTACCGGTTCCGGTTCCCGGACCGGCCGGTTTCGCCCCCCCGCCCCCTATTTTTTTTTTTTTGCTTTTTAAAAAATTTTTAAAGTATAAAATTTTAAATTTGAAATTGTTTAAGGAAAAAATGAAATAAAAAAATTATAACTTATTCTTCAGAACTCGGACTTCCATCTGTTGTTGCATTCATGTAATGCTCCAATTCGAGTTGGTACGAAGCCTCTTGAGCTCTACGTCTTGCCAAGAGCCAATCTTGATTGCAAACCAGTGTTTCAAGATATTCAGCGCTAAGACAACTTCGATAGTCGGTTAGAATGTTGCCGCCAGCACTGAATTCTCGTTCAACTGCTACGGTTGATACCGGAACGGATAACACTTGTCTTGCTAGCATGCCGAGACATGGGAACATTTGTTCGTTCCGCTTCCACCATCCGAGCACGTCAAAATCCACTTCGTCCTCATCGTAATCGCATGGCACACCCTGGTACATAGCAAGTTCGTTGTGCGAGCTTACTGTTGTACCACTTGAACTCGTCAAAGAATGAGCACGCTTCCCTTTCTTTGCAAGAAGACCACCGACTATTCCGGCAAAACCTTTTTTTGATTTCGGGGGCGGAGGTGGTGCCGTTTCTTCTTGTACAGTGCCGTATAACCCTTGATATTCCTCAAACAAATTCTCAAAAAAAGTTATAGCATTATCTCTTTCTTTTTCCCATTCTACTAACTGACTGTAGTAATAACTATTTTCATCTAAAAAACAACTGTAGTAATACTCAATTAAAATTTTATAATTTTCAATCTTAAAGCGTGGATCACAAATAATACCTATTTTATAAATATCAGGAATATACAAATAATAAGCACACCATTTATCTCTCATTGGAGCGACATAAGGGTACAACTCTGGATCAGCCATACTTTCACGAAAACATGTTGCGATTGTAACGCACTCTTTAAAAAATGTATTTGTAGTTGGTTGGTAAACATGAGAAAAAGTAAGAGTTGCGTTATTAAAAACTTCTAATACGGCATTCAATTTTTCAACAATAACAAATTCAGAAGGATTAATGATTATACGAAGTTCATCCCTAAAAAATTCAGCAAGTTCCTCTTTATATCTTAGAATCTGATGAATCAATTTGTAAGTACTATTCCATCTAATGTGAATATCTTTTGCAAAAACTATTTCTTTTTTACCCTTAGACTTACAGAACATCTTCCAGGACCAAGAAACAAGACGAGCCCCCCAAATTTTTTTAATTCCTTCTTTAATATTCGTCAAAACTCCGCCCATAGCTTCTAGTCCCTGTTGAACACATAAATTTAAAACATGACAGGCACACCGTTGATGCAGAAATCTACCCATAGACGTAGAGGGTGGGCAAATTTCTCTAAGTCTAGGAATAGCTGCAGTATTATTAGTAGCATTATCAAAACCAAATGAAAACACTTTGTCAGATAAGTTGTATTCCCGCAGAATACTCTGAAGCAATAGGAAAATATTTTCAGCATTATGCTGTTCATTGAAATCACGAAATGCAAGAACACGTTTATGCATAATCCAATCACTATCTATCCAATGACAAGTAACACCCATATAAGACAAATTATGATAAGTTTCACTCCAAATATCAGAACAAATAGCAACACGAGAATTAAAATTGAGAAAAAAATTTGCCAAATTTATTTTTCCAGTTTTATACTGACGAATAATTTCTCGTTTAATTGTTTTTCTTGAAAAACCTCGTGCTTGAGGGTTTAATGCCTGTTGACAATAATCAATAAATCCAAGTTT